CTTCAGGTGAGTCGCAGCAGACGACCGGGTCGACGGCCTCACAGGCGGAGACGCACTGGCTGATAATGTCCTCGATTAAAGAGACTTCAAGGGTAAATTGTGGAGAAAGGAGAAGGGCACGAATGGCAGCAAGTACTGTGTAGCTTGGCTTCTGAACGCTGCTCATCGGGTCGGCGTGGATTGCCTGCAGACGAAGCTTCAGCTCGTCCAAAAGGGAGATCAGCTGGGCTTCCATCCTGACGAGTAAAAACAAATTAATGTCACTATTCAAAACAATTCTATGGTTACCTTTTGGAAGTTTTTTTGAAACGATGTCCCGAATCGGAACTCCCGACGTCAAGATCAGTAAACAAAACAAGCAGGCACGTGCGGCACGTGGGCAGCTCAGCAACAAAAGAGAAAATGCGCAATAGCCCGCTAGATGGCGTACTAGTGTCAGCAACGCTAAAATGACGAATTTTTTAATTTTGTTCGAACTTTCAGGATAAATCGGGTCTAAGGGGGCGTTTTGAGCGGCACTGATTAACCGGACCAAATAATAACAAAAACCAGTTAATAGTAATGATAAAAGTGAGATCAAGTGCTCTAGGGGTGGTCAATCCTGAAATGTTGGCTTCACTGCACATCTTAGTCTATAGGCTTCTCGGGCACTTTCGAATGCACTTTTCTCAGCAACCACTTATCAGATTGAAGAAAAGTAAAGTGATAAATGAAGAAAAAGAGTTTGTTAGCAGCTTAGTAACAAAAATGTTTGTTATATGAAGCTGTTTGCATTAAAACCCAAGACCGTAAGGCATAAACGTAAAAAATGCAAAACTATCCCTTATTCTTAAGGGGAAGCGGTACTGCCTTCCTCTCCAGTGAGTTCCGTGTTAGCTCAGTTGGTAGAGCGTTAGGCTTTTAACCTAACGGCCGAGGGTTCGAACCCCTTACACGGAGCGTTTCCGGTTCCTTTTTTGGGTTTTTTAGAGTCCAGAACGGAAGAGGAAGGTCCCAGGAACATTTTGGTGAAAGCAGAACTCCAAAAACCTTCGAAGAACTCGAGATATGGACGGTTGAAGTTGAAGTTGAATTCTGTTATTTTGTATTGCTTTTAGGCAGTGCAGTGAAGCGTTTTTTATGAGGGAACGCCCTATTTTTAAGTTAAGAAACAAAAAAGAAGTTCTTAGGAACCCATATCAACTGTTTGGGTGCTCATACAATCACAAATTGTAAGTTTGTACAAAAGGGATCAACACATACATTCATGGAGATTATAAAAAAGTTTCACTAAGAAAAGACTGCCTAACTCCTGTCTTCTCTGGAAATTCACTCGGACTCATTCAACTGGTTCCTGCTGTACATCAGCTTTGTACATCACTGTACAGAAGTAAATCATCGCCTCAACAATAAAAACTTCCAAAATGCATTTATCACTGCATTTTTACCCTTTGAAACTGCAGAAACCGTACAATTCACCTTCTCAGTGCACCAACGGTCATTCTAAACTTCAAACCCCTCAGTCGTACATTCGAGCAGTATAAAAACCGAACTATCGATGTTTCTCTTTGTTGAGTTGTCGAGTTCATTCTTGTCCATAATATCCTCAAGGGAAACAAAATTTGATCATCCAGCATCATCAAACACAAGTTTAGTCCTCTTTTTTTATAAGTTTTCTGAGTTTCAGTATCAAAAGCCTCTGGTCGCCAAAAGCCCAACCAATTCGAGTTAGTACCTTTTGGTTA